CTGTTCCAACATGACTGTGCACCAGTGCACAAAGCAAGGTCCATAAAGACATGAGTGAATTTGGGGTGGAGGAACTTGACTGGCCTGCAGAGTCCTAACCTCAACCCGATAGAACACCTTTGGGATGAATTCGAGAGGAGACTGCGAGCCCGGCCTTCTCATCCAACATCAGTACCTGACCTGGAAGAATGGTCAAAGATTCCCATAGACACGCTCCTAAACGTTGTGGGCGCCTTCCCAGAAGAGTTGAAGCTGTTACAGCAGCAAAAGGTGGGCCAACTCAATATTGAACCCTACGGACTAAGACTGGGATGCCATTAAAATTTGTGCGCGTGTAAAGGCAGGCATCCCAATACTTTTGGCAATATAGTGTAGTTCCTTTCTGCTGATGCCGAAAAGGCTTTGATAGGGTGTACTGGGACTATCTTATGACCACCCTGTTGTATGTTGGTTTGAGCTCCAAGATGCTGAACTTTATTAAAAGCTCCATATTTGCATTCTATGGGCCAAAGTAAAATTTAATGGTGTACTCGAGTTTTGAACTACATAAATGGCACTCGCCAGAGCAGCCTCCCTTTCCCCTATGCTTTTTGCATTATCAATAGAACCTTTTTTGATCTTTATTAGAAATAACCCTGATATGAGGGGGATTTCAGTCAATAGGGTGGAAGATAAATAGGCAGTATATGCAGATGCTGTTCTCTTTATTAGACAAGCTCACATCTCAATATAGGCTCTTCATGAGTTTGATTTCGAACTTCAAAATTAGTTTATATAAAATCAGATATATTGAACATCACCTGAAGTTGCCTACCTTAAACACTCTCCTGTTTTATTTGGCAAACTGCATAAATGAGATACCTCGGTGTCTATTTAATCCCTACATTTTCCAATATTACTAATAATCAATTATATGCCTCTCTTGAATTTCATTAGATGTAACCTAAAGAAATAGACTAAATGATCTTATTTAATCGCTAAAGGGTAAAATCAATGTGATTAAAATTAATATTCTACCACTAATCTTAAATTCAATTCCAAACTATCCATTACACTTCCCACGTCCTTTCTTTTGCCACCCTCCATAAAATTGTCCATAAATTCATTTTGAATCACTTATAAGCAAGACTCTTCCATTTGACCTTGGTTAGGGAGAAGGACAGAGGACTAGCTCTACCCGACTTTGCTTTATACTATAAACAGGGTATTAGATTGTTTTTTTTAAATAAAAATGCCAAAATGTGGGTATCTCTAGAAAATTCTCTTATCTGCCCAACTTCTTACCACAATATGCCGGATCCCACCGGGATACAGGTACTAAGCAAAAGATACCTCTCCTCTGATAAGAGGCCACAATATCTGGAATAAGTCTTAACCATACCATTTTAGGTTTTTATAATTATACGTTAATGCCTCTACTTGGACATTCCTTCTTTCTCCCCGGCCTATCCAACCATGGATTTTTATCCTGGACCTCAGAATTCTTACTTATACCAGGTCCTGGAAGGCTCTCATTTATATACTCTTCAGCAATTACAAGATAAGTGGGGAGTTCGACCCTAGGCGTTATACAATGACATCATTGTATTTCCTCGTGCACAAACCTCTGTAAAATCCCAGATCTACATTCACTGGAAACCTTAACCCACCCTTTGTTACCTCACAATTCTATAAAATGGTTACTGCTACAAAGGACGCAACAAATACCATCTTATATTGCTCAATGGGAAGCCGATCCGTGCTCATCTTTAGAAGAGACACAAAAATGGAAACTTTTAAACTGAATGCCTCCATCTCTATCAGTGCAAAAGTCATTGAACCTTCCTATAAGATATTTGCCAGATGGTATTACACACCAGAGCGTTTGCATGCTATGCATCCCAGTGCCTCTGCAAGATGCTGGCGAGGCTGTGATGCCATTGGCACACATGTCACCCTTTGGTGGTTTTGTTCTAAGATTTCTGGCTGCAAGTTATAGATCTAATTTCTTTCATCGCTGGCAAAACTGTCCCGCTGGATCCATGATTATATTTGCTACACCTTACTGGAGGACCTATCAAAGCCTATAGATGTTTAATACTGCCTCATTTATTCAGTGCAGCAAAATCCCTCATACCCACCCACTGGATATCTCAGATTACATGTTCTGTGCAAGAATTGGATTGTAAAGTGGAGCACTTGAGATGGAGGACCGTAGACATTAAATGATCGGCCAAATATGAATCTGGCACCCGTGGGTTGAATTTAAGACTAAACCCCGATATGCATCTTTATCAACTTAGCTACTGATGCCTTAAATTTTGCCAAGTCATTGTAGACAATTTACGTATGCATTTTTCAATGACAATAGGTAGTCCTTTTTTTTTTTGAGGACTGGGCACCCGTGTCCCCACCCTTCCTCTAACCCCCCCCAATAGCTCTCCTTTCCTCTTTCATTTTATCCTATATGTAGGCATGTTTTGCGGTGCTTCGTTTAAAAAAAAAAATAGTTTGAATAGGAACGTGTCACCCTCATTCACACTAGGAAAGGCCGGCACATACAGCTCCGTGCACAGCCGTATCGCTCAGCTCCCGGGAAGGACAGGTGCTGCGTGCGATTAGTGCGCAGCCCCGGTCATTCTCTATGGGAGTAGACGGCTGTACGCCGCCCTACGCTTACCCCAAGTGCAGGTCAGTCTTTCCTGGCTTGTACTCAGACAAGATCCGTCCTGTCAGCGTACGAGTACGGGCAACCGCACGGACATGCAGGGCGGTGTATGGCCACGTACTCCATAGAGGATGGGGGCTGCTTACTAATCAGAGGCAGCACCTGTCCTTCCCAGTAGCTGAGTGATACGGCCGTGCACGCAGCTGTACGTGCCGGCCTTGTGATTGAGGGCTTCAACTCTACTGTGATATTCTCCAGATCATACATTAGAACCAAGCACAAGAAATGCATTCTATTGATAAAAATGAGCAAATAGATCCTCATTCTAAAGCAATTCTAGTAGACAGTTCCTTTGCAGACAACTGCTTGGCAATGGTTTTTTTTTTTACATTAAAATATAGTGGATACATTCTTGTAACAACCCACCTCCGACTTCCTATGGACGCCAGCAACCACCACCTGTGAAACCAGCAAAAAGAAATAAAAAAGTCAGCACTGCAGAAAAACTTCACACCACTGGGAAAAGTAACAATAAGGGAAGGGGGTTTAAAAACAAAGCGTTTTATTTTTTTCCCCAAATCTACATAACTAGGCATTTTTAAAAATATTTTAATGGTAGCAGATTTATTGTCATTAAATGCAAGTTGGAAACCTTTTTATGTCAACTTCCATTAAAACGTTGCAATTTTTACAAATACTTTTTACAGAATGGCTTTTTAAGCTTTTTTTGGCAATGTCTTTGAATAGTTTACAATCTGCTAACAGTTTATAGGTCTATTAATATTTAATACTCAGAATGTGCAGTTTACCCAGACGTCAGCAAAATAGTCAGAAATCCACTGACATTCTTGCTGCTGGCTGGTTACAATGCACAGGAAACAATTAGTGGAGAGCAGTATTAGGGAATTCTGTTACCTGGTTGGCGAAGCATGATTTACTCATCCTGAGTGTCTTGCGAGATTTTTCTTTTCTTTTTTTAAGCTTTGGCATTTGTACGATGTCCACAGCCCATGGAAACTGTCCAGTCTTTATCCCGTTAGATTACAAATAACAAGTTTATTTTGTGTCTATTATTTTTGAGAGTCTGTACAAGGCTTTTACCATGCAGCCAAACAACCCTACCATAGGAATTGACAGACTCCTAGGAAGGATAGAACTGACCTCAAATCAAGATGGAAAACCATTTTACCAGTATAAACCTCCTACATTTAGGGGAAAAAAATAAATAAAAAAAAATATTTAAAATGTGCAGACATGCCTTAGGCAGGTAACAATTACTGTTAAGCCGTCCAGCAGCTTGTTTTATACAAGTATAAAAACAAAACCCAGGGGGGTATTTTCCCACGATCATTTAAAAGGCACGCAAGGCAACTGGCAATGACTGACAATCTCACAGTGCAGTATACAGCAAAGCATGGGGAGTTTTTTTTTTTTTTTAAACAATTGACTATTGATAAATGGTTAAGAACTATTTTCTTTTTTTTTAAGTCAAACATACTGAAATATGAAGACTAAGTAGTGACAGCATTAATAAGTACACCCATGAAGATGGGTTCTTGCTATGAACACACAATATTTTGTGTGCATTTTGCCTACATATATAAAATATAGAATACAGTTATTTTACTGCTAAATTAGTAAGAGTGTCAATCAGTAAACTCCTTATAAACAGTTACAAAAAAAAAGCCAAGTAACTGCTGTACCTCCTTAACACATGTAGAACTTTAACATACAGCTTTGGTCTTCGATTTGGGGAAGCTGGGTAACCCTTAGACAGTCATCCAGAGAACATCACTAACTTATTATAATTAGAAGTACAAGAATAATTGCATTCATTTAAGCTAAAAGTAATCAAAAGATCTGTGCAGTTACCAGCTTGATCTAGACCAGACCAACAAACACTTCCTACAGTATCTTATTGTGCATATCAGTTACGTTAAATGCATTAAACTTTGGTATGCAGTTTCATTAAGGCCTTTGGTCAGATTATTTCTCCATAAAAGCTCGAATATTTTATATTTTAGAGAAATACGAGCAACGCTTCTATTTGGGAGGATTGAAATGAAGACCTTTATGGCCTACATATGTGCATTGCCCCAAGATGTACTCAGCAAATGCACATCCTGCACACAGTGCAGTGTTTAATGGATGCACAAGGAGCTAAAATTAGTTTATCTACTTACACATATACATACTTCTAAACATTATAAAATTAGAAAAGGTTTGGGATGCAAAAGCGTGCAGTTTGCTGGTTTATAGAGGCCCGTGCCATGATCCACTAACTTTCTTTTATAAAACCACATTTTATAAGCCTATCTGAGCACAGGTGAATTAAGACAACATTAACAAAAAGGATTTGTCCATAAGGTTTAATAACATAAAACAAAGCGGATTTTAATTACAAAGTCAAAGCCTGGGTTTTTAAACAGCATACAATATTACAGCTAATTGCGCTAACTCAAATAAAAAAAATGGAATATTGAAATGCAGCTTGCTTCAGGACATAATCTACAGCTAACATTGAACGTTTTGTTAGAAATCCTCAGTTTGTAACAAAGTCACTTAAAATACTATTTTAACTGCTCTTTCTTGCATGAAAAGCATTTTTAAGGGTTTTTGTTTATTTTTAAACAATGAACGTAAAATGGTTCTAAATATTCACAGATGTGGGGGGGGATTTTGTTTTTTGTTCCTCCAGTTTTAAGACAGGTCCTATTAGGAGGATTTTGGGATGGGTTAAGGGATGAAAGGGTTGAAGGAAAGGAGTCACATAGTACAGAGAATTTACTTGTGTTGTGGGTTAAGGAACAGAAGTCCTGGGACACAACATATCAGTAATAATTGTTTGGAAGAGTAGCAGTCTTAGAAGCGTCTGTATGGGTGATCTCTGTAGCTACTGCCTTTAGGAGCAGATGGAACCTTCATGGATGGCCGAGATCCATTCCAATTGTCTTGCCCTAAAAACAAGTGTACAGGGTTTAGTCAGACAAAACAAAAAAACAAAAATCGAAAAGGAAAGTGCATTACAAAAAAAGATAAAATTCCATAAAATGCCAACAGATTGTCATTTTGATTTTTTTTTAATCAAAGCGGATCACAGTTTCTACTTTTACACCTCGGTTTATAAACATTTTCCAATATGACATACGGGTAAGTAAAATCCAAAACCTACATAGTGCCATGCTTTCTTCTAAACAGGTTAGTTGCCTGAAGAGCACTTCCATAGCAGCAGATATATGCTGAGCTTATACCTTCACCTAATGTTATCTGCTGGCAGTGTAAGCATTTTATCATCTATGATCAGGTTCGCCTTAATGTGCGTCAGCTGAATTGTGCGTTTGCATGCTTTATGCTGGCAACCTTAAAATTTCAAACATATTATGACTATACAAATGTTAACCAGTTGCTGCCTGGAACAATTTCCTACTATTTGCACACACCATAATCTCTGAATTTGGATAAAAAACAGCTTAGAACCCCCAAACAATTACTTTCTGTAAAAAAAAAAAAAAAAAAAAGCTAGTTGCAATTTTTTTATGTGGCAGTTTTTGTGCAACCGTTTATCAAACCAGTATTTGTAGGCCAACATACACCAAAATGAAACTTGGTGCACAGAAACAGAATATTGTATTTGCTTTTTTATTAAGTCCACCACGTACACGCACATACAATGCAAACATGCATCAGATGCACCTATGTGCAAAAATAAAAATTGCACCACATATGTTACATATCTCAATGTATGGGAGTGAGAGCAATAATTCTAGGGCCATCAGTCACTGTTAACACTAAACTGATGAGCAGTATGTCGCTTGGAAATTTTGGGTATTGTAGTTTTTTGCGGTTTCACGCAATTAAGGCTTGGCATGTTTAGCATCAATTTACCTGACATGACCCCATCTTTTATATTTTACAAAAGAATTGGGGTTTGCCGATCTGTCAGCGAAACCCCAGCAAGCGCCGCTCGGTACAGACACCGGATCGCTTGTGCATAAACAGCAATTACCTGCTGTTTAAAACGATACCAAGTACACAGATGCAGCAGCTACCGTGTTCTTGGTATAATCACACACGCGAATGATGTGGTTAAAGCAGTTTGTGATATACACACACACACACACACACTATAATAAAGTCTGGAACCTGTAATCTGACTAGCATATACAAGACAAGAATAGACCATTTACATGGACTTCAGATTTGTTACATAAATCAAACACGCTTACCATAGCTGTCATAGGATTCTAAGCTCTCACCATGTCCATAGTCATAATACTCGGTCTCTCTGCAGAAGAAGTAAAATCAGTAAGCATTTACAATACACAATTAAACCATAAATCGTGTAATAAACACTTGCGTCAACACTTACGCTGGGCTCTGGTTGTAATAACCCTCGTAACCTTCATAGCTTTGTTCACCATAGCTGTCTTCATAACCCTGTAAAAAAACCATATTAGAACTAATACAAAAAGCTCCTGAACAAAACATCTTCACTACACAAAGATACATGTATTCTTTCACACAGAATGAGCAATACAATGCTTTAACTACCAATGTGCCCTTTTGTTGCACAGAGTGCATTACCCATAAATCCTGAAAAATGCTTTTTTCACAAATAACTGTCTGACAACAATGATTAGGGGTCTGGAGTCCAACATACAGCACAGTATACAAAGTGTAGTTTTATACAGTATAACACGCAACAGCACAGTGTAAACAAATAAGATCATTACTTCAGGCTGGGTTTACACCATTTTCCAGACCAGATCTGGAATGCAGTGCGACATGTTTTTGCCGTGATTTTACCCCTTTCCGGAGCTGTTTTTTTTATCTTAAAAATGGGCTTTCAGGTGCGTTCCATGCGTTTGATGCATTCCAGACCAAACAAAAAGGAGACGTGCAGTATTTCTGGTTTGGAACGGACTGCGCTGGTGTGAACAGAGGCCTGAAATAGCATATGGATACATTAGGATACATTTTGGGTCCAGAAACAGTCTGGTCTGGTGATCTGGATGTGGTGTGAATGGGCCCTCAGTCAGAATGTTTTCTAAACACCGCTCAATCCTGTGTAAAAAGTCAGAGGCTATATCTGGTCCCATCCCCTGTATGTCTGCCCACACTTAACTACCAACACTGCAATTACATCACGTGTGCCGAGCCTGTGGAGGGGGTTGCAAGATCGGCAGATTTAAAATTATAGCCTATAGGTGTCTGAGTCATGTCAGATGCTGGTTACTTTATGCCCATGCTCTGACTAAACCTGGGGTAAACTGGTGCCTGACCCTGGATGAGACCAAACTTGGTGACCGAGCCTGAGTGGAATGAGAAGAACCACTTTGAATAAAGCAACATAGCCACACTGTAGAATGCCATGTTGCTAAGATTACAAATCTGGGGGTGGAACGAAAGGAGTGAAAGTTTGAGCTTAGATTTAATAAAACTAGACTTGTGTCTACTTAAAAGGGGAAAAACAAAAATGGTGCCATCTACTTACATAGTCATCATAGGGCTCTGGGGCTGGAGGTGGCAAAGTAATCCTCTGAAGAGATCCACCACGTGCTCTTCCAGAAGGTGCACCCCTGCCTGCAGGTGAAGGAGCCACACTTCGGGTTACACTGGCACCACGTGTTATAGCTCCACGTCCTGGAGCTCCCCTAGGAACAAGAGAGCGTAGAGGACCAGCTCTTCCTCTGCAAAAAAATAAAGTTACATTTATCTTTCAAATTATGGGTTATATAATCTTTTTTTGCTAGTGTAAGAATACACTTTGCAGCAATTTCATTTAACATCACACAGTAAGCCACACTAAACTGTCCTTCAGAAGGCTTGGGCAATAACCAACACTTCTACAAGAAGGATTACTGTAAAAAGAGGTTAATCATAAGCTGGTAAATAAGGGACCTCTGGTAAATAAGGGACCTCCTCCATATCTCTTCCCTTTTGCCCACGGCCAGATTACTATAAAAAAGTGCACATTCCAAAACCTCTAAAAAAAAGGAAAGATCACTTAATTTACAAATCAACAAATAAGTACAAGCAAAAGAAGCCAGCCTAAAGTTTAAAAGAAATAAACGTTTAAGATACACCTGCAGTCTTAATTGCCAAGAAGCCTAAATGGAACAAATATTCTTACTGCCCATAGCATCTAGATTTGCTTATACTGCAAGGGAAAAATAGAGAACTAGGCATTTCCAACAAGTACAGTTTTTGACTTTCAGCGAATAACTGAAAAAAGTGAGCTGAACTAAAGTTAAGTAACTACCTTGCTTTTAGAAAAAGTACAAGCTTCTAATGTGGAAATTTTAGTTACCTTGCTGGCGGAGCTGCAGCAGAAGGGGGTGGGCCACCTCTGCCACGGGAAGGTCCTCCTCTTCCACCCCCACGAGGTGCTTGCTCTGGTGGGGCTCCATTCAAGTAGGACAACTCCAGAAACTGCTCCTGACAAATATCATCCATCATATCCTGTGAGTTAAAGCAAGTAAAATACAGTAAAATTTAGAGATGTCCCGATACCGTTACTAGTATCGGTATCGGGGGCCGATACAGGACATTTTCATGAGTACTTGTACTCGTGAAAATACCCTGATACATAGCGCAAATGTCGGCACTTAAATAGCTTCGGGCTGCTTGTACAAGGGATCTGACCGGATCACTTATATAGCAGCCTGCTTGTAAGCCCCCCCCCCACTAAGTGGTGTTCGGGCTCGCCCGCTCTTCTGGGGGACCCAGGACCATCGCAAAGCAGTTCAGGATGGAGAGCGAGAACGTCCTTTCTACGCTCTGCGATCAATGACAGAGGAGTGCTGTATTCACAGAGCTTCCTGTGTCATCTGCCACAAACTGAGCTGAACAGAAGATTGTGCTGTATCTTCTGTATTGGATGGCAGGCTCAAAGAGCCTTTCACCCCCGAATGATATCACATAGGGGATTGCTAGTCCCTATATGATATCAATAAAGTTGCTAGTCCCTATATGATATCAATAAAGTTAAGCAAGAGGGGAAAAAAGTAATAAAAATACAAATTTAAAAAACAAATTAAAAACAAACAACCCTGCCTTTCTCGCGCAAATAAACATGCATAGAGCATGGTGTGTGCGCACCCTTATTCCACTGTGTGCCATATTGTGGTAGTGAGGCAGCAGCGCTCTCTAAGGCCTGGTTCACAACTGGGCGTTTTACAGTGCGTTCCTACGCTCTGTAAACCGCTCAACATGTGAAAACCAATTATTGCCTATGGGCATGGTTCCCACCTGGGCGTTTTAGAGCGCGTAGGTAACGCGCTGCAAAATGCACTACGCCCAAAGTACAGGAGCTTCTTTGGGGCGTATTTGCCGCACATCCATTGGGATACAGCAAGGTAGCCCTCAGAAATGTGCGCTTGTCACGAATCGTGGTAAAAATGTGAGGCATGAAACGCGCGACAAAAGCGCATATTCGATACGCCTAGGTGTGAACACAGCCTCACACACACAATGCACATGAGAGTAAGTTCACTTTCCCAAGTAATTTGGAAAAATTGAATCACCCGCTTAAATCTGGCCAGTCTGGTGACGGGACATCCTAGTAAAATGCATACAATATACTTTAAAGAAAACTAACTGAACTTAAGTAGGCGAAAATCTCCCTCAATGCTCTGAAAACCTCTGAACCCAGAGTTTGTAAAGAGAACTGAAAGGCACGCCCTGTAACAGGACTTGAGTTCAGCAGTACTGTTTTAGAGATTATAAAAATCATACTGAAGTCTGAATGATAGCTAGACATACACATTACAACTTTTCCATACACCAGTTACTGCTTCAATCAAGAAAAATAGTTAACTCAAAATATTATACATACTGGAACCAAGAACTTCTTGACCTCCTCCATAGCATGTGCCATTCTAGTATATGCCTCACAAGGCGGGCCAAAGACTTCAATAAAAACATGTAGATCCATGTTCAAGTGACCGTATTTTGGATCACCTCCTTTCCGGAGTTCTTCCTCCTAAGACATGAAAAAAGCCATAACATTTAATACAAAAATCGAATTATATAGATTTTAAAACCCCCCGCTAAAGCGTTACCAATGCTGATGATTCTCTCTATATCTATCTA